TGACTCATCAGTGATCATGCGATATAAAAATATTAATCAAATATTAAGCAACTGTATTATAGAGATGACAACAAAACTCTTTTTGATACTTCTACATCAATTTAATCGTAATAAATAAAAATTAGATCCATATTGTGAAGGTTCGTATTCACAACCTCTAAGTAGTCCCTAAGTTGACGTGAAATGACACTTCGATGTGATCGAACAGATATTCCATTTCTTCATCTTTTCGAGGGTTCGCCTCTCGATGGTGGCGAAACATCATGCCGAGCGCGAAACACTCGAGCCCAAGTGGGCATCTCTCGACACCTTTCTCCCCAAAGTTGAGAAGCTTGAAACGGTATCGAAGGGTGTCCCGCGTTTTCTCCTCCGTTCATTCATCCCTTCTCCCCGGAAGCGCATCTCCGCGGAGATGATTGAGATACTTTGACGAGCATCACCACCGACGGGGCTCTAGGAACCGATTTTAACTGTCACTCTGTAAGCGTTTGTCGTTGCACTTTGAGGGACTCTATACCGACCGCACGATAGACTGTCGCTTGTTCTCAACTCTACAACTTCTGCGGAACTCGATACAATGACGCATAATGACCCGCGACAATGGCTACGATGGAGGAGCTTGCGAACCGACGAATGGGGTTTCCACGTTGAACCAAATTCGATCGATCCGTGTCATTGATATACAAATTTGTCACGTTAAATGGATGGGAAACGTCCCAAATTTGACTTTTGAACTATTGCGTAAGTCTCAAAACTATTCCCCCTCTATATTGTTACATTTAATTGAGGATTTTCCTATGAGTCGAGTACTTTAACGCGTGAAAAAATCGATTTTTCGTCTGTTGCTTACAGAATTAGCTTTACAGAATTTTACAGAATGTATTATTTATTTTTGTTTCCTTGTAATATTAATAACGTTATGTCCAATTTAAATAATTCAGCGATTTGCTTAAGAAACATTTGGTAGTATGAAAAAGACAAACCACTTTATAATACAACAATTTTACGTAGACTTTACCTTTAAACGACGTCAAAAGTTTATGAAAGAAAACTATAAAAACTATATTTCGCGATGGTATTGCGTAACGTTAAGATCACCGTAACATTGGTACACGAGACGTAGAAGAGAGAGTGACGAGGCAATGACCCATTTGAGTGAGTCAGGATCAAATCAAAGTAGAATATCGAATACTTTATTCTGTTGTGAGAAATCAGGACGGAGCGAGTCTCGTGTCGAAGAAGCCGGCAACCTCCGGCGAGCCGGTGCTCGTCGTAATTGATTACGTCACGATGCCGAGAGGGGGACCACCCCGGAGAACAAGAAGGGAAAGGAGAGGCGGCTATATAAGTCGAACGGGGTGGAAGAAGTCGGACGGATGATGAATGTGCTGTCTGAGCCGTCGCGTCAGCGAGGCTCTGTTGCCCGTTTGTAAACGAGCTCCCCATTTTTTCGCGGCTACGCGCTGCCAAAAGTATCAAACTGTCTGCGCACGTTTGAAAACACTTCGCTCATCGATCCTCGATTAGCGAGCGAATCTCGCTGACCACTCGCGAGACATTAGATTTTCTAACATCGCGCATATCTTTCTTTTATACCCGCCGCCCTGAAGGAAATATAAAAAAGAATGGACATAAATAGTGTCACTAAAAATTGTTACGCGTCGAGATGTGTACACACATGAGAAGTTATTCCTCAGTAGCTGTGTGTGAAGTACATCATAATGAGCTTCATCGATATACCTATATTGAGTTTGTTAGCACAGAGCGCGTCCTTGATCCATCCATAGATTCTGATCCAGTCATAGATTCTATATATATGGTATATATATATATATATGCTACGCGATAAAACGACGTGATACGCAGTTTCAAAGCCGGCTATTTCCATCTAATTGTAACAGACACATACGCGAGAGTTGTTTGCACACATTTCGTTTCGTTGTTGTTCTGACGAACGTAACGATAGAAAAGCAGATTTCGGTAACGATGTGTAAATTGATGGGCTTCTTCTATGTGCTTTTTTTTTATACGTGTAAAGATTCAATCTGATGTTTTGAATGCGATGAGCGAAAAAGGAGTCTATGAAAAATTATTGCTCTTGACAATCCA